AGAGGGAGACACAGAATCCGAAGCAGGCTCCAGGCTCTGAGCTGTCAGTACAAAACCCGATGTGGGGCTCGAACTCACGAACTGCGAGATCATGACCTGAGCTGAAGTCAGACGACTGGTGCCCCTAGACTGTTCTTCCTTTTTAAGGCTGAATCATATTCCAGCGTGTGGATGAACGACATTGTGTTTATCCATCGTCCACCCGTGGACGCCGGGTTGCTTCTACCTCCTGGCTCTTGTGAACAGCGCTGCCGTGAACACGGGTGAGCGCCCGTCTTTTTGAGACTGTTTTCGATACTTCTGGGCGGGTCATTCGAGGAGGAACCTCCGTACCCCCGTCTTCCTCGGCCGCTGTAGCATTTCATGCTACCGCCAGCAGTACCCCAGGGCGCCAGCCCTCACCCCCCACCGCCTCCCCCAACACGCGTTCCCTTCTGGGCTGTGGATGACAGCGGTCAGAACGCGTGTGCAGTGGTGAGGTGGGGTCCTCTGTCTCGTTTGCTCGCTCGTGGGATCCCGGGTGCCAGGCCCTGAACAGGTGCTCAGTAAAGATTTGGAGCTACAGGGGAGGGGAGTGGCCCAACCTCTCTTTGCCTCAGCCGGGGCCTCGCGGGGCAGAGGTCAGGGACAATGCCACGTGACGGCCAGGCCCCAAACCCCACAGCCAACCCTCCAGCAAAACGCACAGGCTTGGCCTGGAACGTGGATTCAGAATCGGACCTTTCTGCACCACCCGCGAGACAGGATCCGGGTCCCAGCACTTGCCCCGGCTGTCCTGACCCCTGTGTCCACACAGCAGGCGGAGGGAGCCCTTTACGCCCCGTGTTAGATCGTATCACTCGGCATGGCTGGGGCCCCCGTGGCTGCAAGGTCCCCACCGCCGCCTGCCACTGTTCCCGCCTGAGGTCTGGGGGCCTCTCCTCTGCACCTGCCCGGCCCACCCTCACCGCACTGGGGCTGGTCCAACATCAGCTTCACTTCCCCAGCCACCTGGGTCCTGCGAGGTGGGTCCACCACCCACCTCGGCACTTGTCCCCCAGGGTCCCCCGGGACGTGTTGCCTGTGTGGTATGGTCTCCACTGCTGGAGGTAGGGGGCCATGTCTGGCACTCGACGAGGACCCGCTGAAGGGGTGAGCGGGGATGCCAAGCAGCCGGCTGTTCTTGGGGGGACCCCGGAGGTGTGGCGGTGGGAGCAGGGGGGGTCTCGGGGCCCTACCTGAACCTCTTGATGTTCTTCTCTGACACCCGAATGAAGAGCACGATGGGGTAGATCCTGGACTTGATCAAGTCTCTGGTGCAGCTGATCCCGGCCTCCAGCAGGCAGTGCTTGTCCTGCAGTACGGGGGCCAGCGGTCAGCAGCTCCCCAGCCCCTCCGGGCAGCCGGGCGGCTGGGGCAGGGGCAGGGGCAGGGGCGAGAGCCCCGAGTGTCCCCACGTCCCCAGCTGCCCCAGGGAGCGACCCGAGGTGAAGCCTGACCTCTGCGGGACAAGCCCCCGCCTGCCTGGACACCGGGCTGCAGGTGCCATGTGTCAGCAGGGCCGGGGCCCGAGGTGCATCGGGGGTGGGGGTGGGGGGTGAACGACTTTCAGTGCAAAAATCAGAGTCAGCTTCAAGAGCACCTGCTACTCCCCTCGGCTCACGGAGGCATTCTCGGTACGAAGCAAGGGCAGAAAACACCGGAAAGGCGAACTGGGGCTGGACGACCTTGGGAGTACTGCCGAGGGTTCTCAGGCAGGGTTCCCTGGCACCCATGGGCTCCTCGCTTCTGGAGGACAAATCTCTGTTTTGCTGAGAGTGTCACGTCTGAAGCAAACAGACCCCCGGATGCCCGAGCCCTCTGCGCTGAACTAGAACGTGGATCCAGAAAACAGCGCACGTGTCCCTAAGCGTGCCGCTCAGCGAGTCTTCACAACCCGCCCCGGCCCCCGCGCTCCTTCCGGTCACTGCCCTCGCTCCCCACCAGCACGGCCACCATCCACACGGTGTGGCTTCACCTTCCCAGCGACCACCCTGCCCACTCCTGTGCTCTCTACTCCAACGTCACCATCCCCTAAATGCTGTGGCCCAGACTTAAACACCGAATGAGCGATTCCAGGCTGGCTGAGAGCTCTGCCCGTACGTTCTTCTGCCTGAGTGACCACGTGGGGACGTGTTGGGGGGGGGGGCAGACGCGGGGCTCCGGTGGGCACCTGCTCCTGGCTCCTCGTCCAGGGTCACCGCCCACTGCAGAGGTGACCCCCAGATGCTGGGGTGGCAACTCAACTGATGGCTTTGCTCTCCAAAGGTCCCAGAATGAGAAAGAAATCGATGCCTGGGGCTGATAAGGATCACATCGCCCGGCTCCAGAAGACTCTAAATTGTGTGCAGACACCTCTCCTGCGTTGCCACCAATAACCCTCCTGTTGCTCCATTTTCCCTCCTGAGGTGAACATGACTCCTGTCGACCGCTTGCTCTCCCTGTCTCTTGTCCTGACACACACTCCCTCTAGCTCCGGCCCTTGTTGTCACGGCCAGGCGCATGCAAAGCCCGAGACAATGCAAACCAGAACACCAGGGCCAGGGAGCCGTCGGAGGCACGGAGTGATTCTAAAACATAAACGTGCACGTCAGAGCCTGGAGGACGAGGGTGTGTGGTGAGGTAACACCGGGCAGGTGAGAAAAGGAGAGAAGGGGGTCTGCCCACAGGGAGGGGGGGGACTCTGCACCCCTCCCTTCTGCATGGCCGAGGCGCCCTCACAAAGATAACCGGTGCCTTCACCCCACCTCACCTTGGCGGCCACAGCTTCAATGTTGGCGGGAACGATGCATTCGAAAGTGTTGGGGTTCTTCTCTCGCGAGTAGATGATGGTCTCCGTCTTCTGCTTCCTGAGGAACTCGTCTCTGGTGACAACATCTGTGGACAGAAGGCCAGTCCTGAGGGCAGCACAAACCTCCCCTTTCTGGACTGGACAGAACTGCATGTTGATCCCCTTCTGCCCACTCAAATCAACTGTGGCTCCTCTACCAGACTGTGAGGCTTCTCAAGGGCAGGGTCAAGGTCATAGTTCCTTACACTTCCCACAGCAGCACCCAGAAGAGCTGCTTCATGAATGCTCAGCATTTTCATTGGACAGAGTAATTCATGCACTGAGGTACGATACTAGTGAACTGCCTATCATGAAGGATTTCCGGCTTTACTCATCCACCCACCCATCCATCATCTACCCACCCACCCATCCATTCACCCACGCACCCAACCATCTATTTGTCTAGTATTATAACCATCCATCCATCCATTCATCCACCCACCCACCCACCCAACCATCCATCCATCCATCATCCATGTGCCACCCATCCGACCAGCCATCCAACAACTCATCCATCCATCCATCCATCCATCCCCCCTCCCATGCATCTACCCATCTATTCATTCACCCATCCATGTACTTATCCATCCATCTACCTATCCACCCACCCACCCATCCAACCAACCATCCACCATCCATCATCCATCCACCCACCCATTCATCCATTCACCCACACACCCAACCATCTATCCAGTCATATAACCATCCATCCATCCATCATCCATGTGCCACCCATCCAACAACTCACCCATATATCCATCTATCCATCCAACCAACCACTCATCCATCCAGCCATCCATCCCCCCTCTCATCCATCTGCCCATTCACCCATCCATTTACTTATCCATCCATCTACCTATCCACCCACCCATCCATCCAACCATCCATCCATCCACCCACCCATTCACCCAACCCTCCATCCATCTAGTCTTATAACCATCCACCATCCATCCATCTACCCACCCATCCATCCAGTCATCTAGCCAGCCAGCCAGCCATCTACCCACCCACCCATCCATTCATCCAGTCATATAAGCATCCATCCATCCACCCATCCACCCATCCATTCACCCACACATCCATCCATCCATCATCCATGTGCCACCCATCCAACCAGGCATCCAAGAACTCATCCATCCATCCCCCCTCCGATTAATCTACCCATTTATCCATTCACCCATCCATCTACTTATCCATCCCTCTACCTATCCACCCACCCACCCAACCAACCATCCATCCATCCATTCACCCACGCACCCAACCATCTATCCATCCAGTCATATATCCAACCATCCATCTGTCCCTCCACCCAACCATCCATCCATCATCCATGCGCCACCCATCCAACCAGCCATCCAACAACTCACCCATCCACCCATCCACCCAACCACTCATCCCTCCATCCATCCATCCCCCCTCCCATTCATCTACCCATTCACCCATCCATCTACTTATCCATCCATCTACCTATCCACCCACCCACCCACTCATCCAACCATCCATCCATCCACCCACCCATTCACCCATGCACCCAACCATCCATCCATCTAGTCTTATAACCATCCACCATCCATCCATC